GGAGCAGGAGGGCTTCTCTTTGCCATTCAGCTCACGCTGGAGGTTCTCCACGCGCAGGCTGGGAAAACCAGGGCCGACCAAAGCAGCCATTATGTTCCAGGCCTCTCTCAAGGCTGCCTGGCACAAAGGGCTCTCCCCGGCAGGCTGGGGACCGGCGCTGAAAGGAGAGCCCAACGTCTAGCGCTGCCATCACCGGACCCCGGCCCTCGCTGGGAAGCAGCACGGGGGACCGCTGGGGATGCCGGGCATGTCGTGGAGGGGCTCAGGCTGCCCACGGCCTCTTGCAGCCATCCGTAGAGGAGGCTGATGCTGGGGATGCAGCGAGATGCCCCTGCGCGGTGCAGGGGAACGCAGCCCCGATACCCCTTCACCCCTCTGCAGAAGCTCCTCAGGGGTCTGGGGGGGTCTCCTCAGCTCCCCCGTACTGCGGATGCACCGCGTAGTTCCCCGGGACGGGAGCACAGTGACCCTGAGACTCAGAGCAGCTTTGTAATTTATGAGCTCTTTGTGCTGCATTGATTTCGGCAGCCACAGAAGCGGATTTGGCACCTCCGTGGCGCTCTCTGGGCCAGGTCGCTGACTGCCAGGGCCAGCCTGATGGAAGGCTGTCCTCATCGCCTGCATCCCTCTGCGAACAGTGCTCCCTGAGTTTACCCGTGGGATCAATGCACAGGGGAGAGGGTGTGAATACAGCCCCCAGCACCACACACCATACGTGCACAGCCCCTAGCACCATGCGCCATGAATGTACAGCTCCTGGCACCACGCACCATGGACATACAGCCCCTGGCACCACGCACCATGGACATACAGCCCCTAGCACCACGCACCATGCATGTGCAGCCCCTGGCACCATGCACCATGGATGTACAGCCCTCAGCACCAAGCACCATGCATGTGCAGCCCCTGGCACCATGCACCATGGATGTACAGCCCTCAGCACCAAGCACCATGCATGTGCAGCCCCTGGCACCAAGCACCATGGACATACAGCCACTAGCACCAAGCACCGTGGACGTCGACCATCACGTGCATACCACGAACCACCCCCTTCCCAGCAGGAGCTCGGCACGGGCAGCCAAAGTCCAATCGCCCAGGACCTGGCCGGTGGTGCCATAGCCAAGCCAGGGGCTTTCTCTGCTCCGGCCGGATCATTTGAATTCAGCCCCACGACTCTGGAGCGAGAGACAAAACCCTCCTGCTCGGCGGCCATGGCCAAGCTCCAGCGTGGGGGCTGGCTGCTGTCCCCCTGGGCGGCCAAGCAAGGAAGGCTTTTGTCACGGGCGCCTTTTCTTCCCGTTCCCAAGGCGCCGCGGTGGCGTGAGCAGCGGCCGGCAGCAGCCGCAAAGCCCCGGGGAGGAAATTCAAATGATAAAACTCTGCAGGAACGGGGCAAGCTGGGGTAAGCGGGTGTCTGCTCCCCTCCCGTGCCCATTCCTGGCTGGGACAAGGGTGCCGGCACCGGGAATGGGACACAGAGAGGGTTAAATCTAGTTTCACACTGCCCATGGGCGATGCCCCGAGGTCCTGGAGTCCCATGATGGGGCAAGAGACTCTCAGATGTCACGTTTGGGGTTTGGGGTTGGATTTTTGGGTTTGGGTTTTTTCCTATTTGCCACAAATGGAAAATTTTTCAGCCCACACGTTGGGAGGAAAAAGCTGGGAGCAGGACTAGGGAAAAACAGTCAAAAAACTCGGAGAGGGGAGGATGGCGGTGGCTCGTGGGGCTCGATCGTCTCTGAGACCTCAGAGCTCAGGAGCCACCAGGGACGGACCGAGATGCAGGCACGCATGCAAGCAGCGGGACCAGCTAACCTCCATTTCCGTGGGAAACCAGGTGGAAAATGGAGCTGAAGTCTATTTTGGGACGGGAGCGATCTTTCTTTCTCCCCTGAGCTCGGCCCCGCTTTCAGGGGCGGCTCCTTGAACGCGGGGCCGGCGCGATTTGGGGCTGCAGCGCCCGGTCCAGGGTGAAAGGCAGGAGATGCTGCGAGGGGACAGCCGAGGGCCGGATCCCTTCCCGTCTCCGGAGAGGGGCTTTCTCCTCCACTGCCCCCTTGTCCCCTCCACGTGACGGTTACTCATCCCGGCTCACAAGGTGCCCTGCCAGCCCGCAGCGAGCCGGGGGGAGGGCAGGCAGCGGAGCGGTGGCTTTCCAGGGATGCTCAGCTGCAGAATGAGTCAGCAACCACGGGCAGAGTCTGGCCCCGCTCCAGGCACAAGCAGGCAGCCCCATCCCCGCCAGCAAAGGGCTTCGGACACCCCGTTGCCGCCCCGGGCCAGCCGGACGCACCGACGTCCCCGTCCACGCACGCGCCCGTCCCATCGCGCACGTGGCTGCCTCCGTTATCGGTTTCCCCCCCCCTTTGCTG